CGTTGTGCAGCGTTTTCTGCCACACTTTTCCCTTCCCACAGACTTCCTGCTGAGGTGCCTTGATACAGCACTCTGGGAACAGCCTATTCATTCAGCAATTTCTTTCTGTGTCTTACCCTCTTGCTTGAGGGTGTCAATGATGGCCTTCTGGACAGCAGTCAGGTCGGCAGTCTTACCCATGATTGCGGTTTTGAGTAATGAACAAGGCTGGGAGTTTTTAAAAGCCTTAGGAATCTTTTGCAGGTGTTTAGAGTTACGTCGTTGATTCAGATGGTTGGTTAATAGCTTGTTTAGAGAACCTTTTCATGATATGCAAATTTTTTGGGACAGGCATTTTGGGTTTTCATGAGCTGTATGCCATAATCATCAGTATTAAAACAATTAAAGACCTTAAATATTTCAGTTGGTGTGCAATGAATCTGAAATATATGAAAGTTTCATTTTTATCATTACATTATGGAAAATAATGACCTTTATCATAATATGCTAATTTTTTTAGAAGGACCTGTACTTGGTACTTGCTGCAGCCGATCACCTTAGTGATCGGCTGCAGCCTTCCATCCCTCCACGACCTGTACATCTCCAGGACTGTGAGGCGAGCAGGTCGGATCACAGCTGACCCTGCACACGGACTGTTTGAACCACTCCCCTCAGGCAGGAGGCTTCGGTCCATTCGGACCAGAACCTCCCGCAATAAGAACAGTTTCTTCCCCTCTGCTGTTGGACTCCTGAACACACATAATGCTACCTCATAATTTCTGCTTTGGTCACATTACATCTGTCTTATAATTGAATACTCCATCTGTACTGTTCTCTAAGCTTTTTTATTGTTTTCTATTGTATGGGTGTACATATGGTTATGTTATGTTTTTAATTTTACTTTATTTGTGGGTGTACACAGGCTTATGTCTTATGTAATGTTCTCATTTTTACTTAATTTTTACTTAATTTTTACTTTATTTTTACTTTATTTTACTTTAATACTATTCGCACCTTATGTCGAAGCAAATTCCTAGTTTGTGAACCTCGTTCATTGACATGGCGATAATAAACTGATTCTGATTCTGTACTTGAAGCATCATCCCAAGACTTCAGCTAGCAAGTTAAAGTTTGGGCTTAAATGTTTTTTCCAAGTGGACCATGACCCAAAGCATCCTGCCAAACTGGTACAAAGTGGCTCAAGAAGAACAAAGTCAATGTTCTGGCGTAGCCATCACAAAGCCCTGATCTCAGTCTTATCGAAAACTTATGGGCAAAACTGAAAAGGCACGATACCAAGGCAGCCTCCAAACATGGCCCAGTTCCACCAGTTCCGTCAAGAACACCAGTTCTGTCAGGAGGAATGGGCCAAAATTCCTGCCACCTATTGGGAGAAGCTTGTGGGAGGATATCCAGAACATTTGACCCAAGCCATACAGTTTAAGGGCAAGGGTACCAAATACTAATGAAGGGTATTTAAACTTTTGACTTGGAAGACAGGAATAAAAATTGCCTTAAAAAAATTCTCACTCTCATTATTCTGACATTTCACAAATAGAAAAATTTTTGGTAGTCCTAATTAATTGACCTAAAACGTTGGTTACGTACTGTAACCCCAGATTCTATGAGGATAAGCGTAGCCCTTTAAGGTTGTCACTGATGGGTTATCCGGTTATGCGAAGCATTACACTGAAAAAATTTAGTCCACGCCCACCTGCTGTGTGGGCCCCACCCAGTCCGTATAAATTACGTTAAGAGCGGGTAATCGGCTCCCAAATAGCTTTTTCTTCAGCCATTTAGGAGCCAGTGAGGCCCGACGCTTAAAAGGCTACGCTTATACTCATAGAATCTGGGGTTACAGTACGTAACCAACATTCTATTTCGTATAAGCTTCGCCCTTTAAGGCTGTCGCTGATGGGTTAAGGGTGAAGCGGCTGTTGTCCTCGCCTCACTGGGTCCATTCGAACACCGTATGAAGCAGAAGCTTGCCTAAAAAACGTCTTGTCACTCAGCTCCCCATGTGCGTAATTACGCATTGCGTAATTATGTGTGCCATGCACAGACGCATGTTGTGTAACTATGCGTTCTGAATGTATGAATGCCCCAGAAAAAAATTCAACGGGGAGGGAAAATATGCTGAAAAGAGCCATGAACCAACCGGTTATGGCTAAACAGTATGAACAGATTAATAATAACAGGAGAGCTGATTATAATCAAATGAACTGATTGGTAACAATAATCATGAATTGATTAGTGACAATAAAACCAAAAATAACAATCACAACTTGTGATTGATACCATCATCTCACACTGTAATGCATGCAGACAGATGTGAGTTAAACGGAGTTCCATGAAACAACAATATTCATTCTGTAAACACTAAGGACAGAATATGTCATGGAACGAGCCGTCACATCACGTAGATAAAAGCGAATGAATGAGCAGGGTGTTGACCACGCGGCCGCAGTGCAAAATGTTCTGCATTGTCATACCATTATGCAAGGCAGTCGAAGATGCAGTACCCCTGGTCGAGTGTGCTCTGAGGTTGACAGGAGGCTCTAAATCTGATGCTCTATAGGCTTCGCCTCACACAGCCAGTGTGACAAGCGCTGGGTGGATAACGGGCGACCTACAGATGCATCTCTATAATGCACAAACAAATGTTGAGTTTGACGCATTGCAGCTGTGCGTGTTATGTAACACGTCAACACCCTCACCGGACAGAGAAGATGGAAAAACACCTCTTCTTCTGATTTGTGGGGGGAAGGGAAAAACCCCTCCAACGATATCACCCTTGATTTAAAAGAGCTTGTGATGTTTTAGGCATAAAGCTGGATTTGGTCTTAAATCAGCTGAGCTGCCGTCAGCCTGAATTCTAAGATATGACGGAGCGACAGAGAAGGCAGATAATCACTCACCCTCTTAGCGGATGTTAAAGCCAGCAGCAGGGCTGTTTTAAGAGACAAGAATTTAATTGGGACCTGATCCAGAGGCTCAAATGGAGTTTTGATCAGGGCCCGCAGGACCAGCGTTAAATCCCACTGTGGAGCGAGTGGGCGTGAAAACAGGCCTGCGTCTATGTACACCTTTTAAAAAATGCTTAATCAACGGATGATTAAAAGCTGTTCTGTCCCTGAAAACCTTTGTGACAGGAAGAGATGGCTGCATCGTACATTTAATCGTGTTGAACGACAAATTTCTGTGCATCAGTTGCTGCAGAAAGGACAGCACGCCACCTAGTGGACATGAGGTGGCCTCTACACCTTTCTCTGTACGCCTTTTAAAAAACGCTTGATCAGCGGATGATTAAAGGCTGTTCTGTCTCCGAAATCTTTGTTACAAGAAGAGATGGCTGTAGAATACGTTTAATCATGCTAAACGCCAAATTTCTGTCCATTGACTGCTGCAGAAAAGACAGCACGTCACCTAGTGGACATGAGGTGGCCTCTATACCTTCTCCGTACACCTTTTACAAAACGCTCCATCAGTGGATGATTAAAGGATTTTCTGTCTCCGAAAAATTTGTGACAAGGAGAGATGGTTGCAGCATACGTTTAAGCGTGCTGAACGCCAAATTTCTGTCCCTCAGCTGCTGCAAAAAGGACAGCACGCCACCTAGTGGACATGAGGTGGTCTCTACATCTTGCGGGAGACCCATCCTCTCTAAGCGGATCTGCTCAGCGGCCAGACCCACAGGTGCTGGCCTATTTCTGGGTAACTCCTGATCGCTCGCGGGCTCAGTGAAGCCCATAGTTGACACTGAGCGTTTCCTCGTGACGCAAACAGGTCCACGGCCGCTTTGCCAAATTCCTGCCACGTCTGGGCCATCAGACCGAGGTGGAGGGTCCACTCCCTGTGACGCGGACCGCCCCTGGACATCACATCGGCCTCTTGTACAGAACACCAGGGATGTACACTGCTCTGATGGAGAGCAGATTTTGGTGTGCCCAACACAGTACATTCCTCGCAATGAGTAACATTTGGGCTGCGTTGATTCTGTAGCACAGGAGCAAAGTGTTGGATCACATTCATAACCGTGCAATCTTCCAGAACGTTTATATGAGCTCTTGTGAGCAAAGCCACAGCGCCCCTACAGCTCAAGATAGGCATGTCACCCCCCAACCTGACACCGGTGCGTCTATGAAGACCGACACGTGTGACGTAGGTCTGCTGACGGGGGCTCCCTCCGACAAAACCAGGGGTTTTCCCATACCATACCACTTTATTTACAGAGCACTTAAAACAGCAACAAGGCCAACCAAAGTGCTGTACAGACAGAACAACAGGTAACACACAAAGCAATGTACAAAATGAGGTAAATCAGAATATAGACATAAAAACGATGCAGATAATGACGACAAACTAGTATGGAGCATACAGGATCAAAACACAGATCAGCTGGTGTTGACAGCTACTGAATAGTAGTGGGTTTTTAAACGGGACTTAAAAACCGAGAGGGAGGGGGCCTGTCTGACAAGCAGAGGTAACTCGTTCCAGAGTCTTGGTCCTGCTACAGAGAAGGCCCTGTCACCTCTGCGTTTAAGACGAGTTCCTGGAACTGTGAGGAGCAACTGGTCCGCTGACCTCAGGGAACGCGGTGGGACATACGGTTGTAGCAGATCATAGAGAAAGGGGGGGCGACACTGTTCAGTGATTTGTAGACATACATGAGTATTTTGAACTGGATTCGAAAGTGAACCGGTAACCAGTGCAGTGAGGCCAAAACTGGTGTAATGTGCTCTCTTTTGCCTGTACTGGTTAAAAATCGGGCTGCTGCATTCTGGACCAGTTGTAGTCGTGCAATGGAGGTCTGACTGAAACCAAACGGGAGTGAATTGCAGTAATTAAGCCTAGATGTAATGAATGCATGTATTACTGTCTCCAGGTTATTTTTGGACAAAATGGGCTTCAGTTTAGACAGCCGCCTCAGTTGGAAGAAACATGATTTAACAATCATGTTTACATGATTGTTAAGTTTCAGGGAAGGGTCCATTATCACACCCAGATTAGTGACTCTTTGTTTTTCTGACAGGGTTAGAGTGGAGAGGTCGATGCAGTGGTTTGTGATTGTGTCGTTAGGAGGGAAAAACATGACTTCAGACTTCTTTTCATTGAAACTTAAGTTTAAAGACATCCAGTCCCTGATGTCAGCCAGGCAGTCGAGCAGCGGTTGAATAGAGCATGTGCCAATGTGTCTTAGGGGGAAGTAAATTTGACAGTCATCAGCATAGAAGTGGAAGGGCATGTTGTGTTTCCGGAAAATAGCACCAAGCGGCAGCAGGTATAAAGAGAATAGGAGGGGACCCAAGATGGACCCCTGCGGAACCCCCCATTTAAGCTCTGCCTCTGCGGAACTAAAATCCTTGATGGAGACACAAAAGGATCTGTAAGTGAGGTAAGATCTGACCCAATTGAGGGCTGATCCTGTGATGCCCACCCAGTGTCGGAGGTCTGCTCTCACGGAGGGAGGAACAGTGATCGTCCATCTCTTTTTGCCTCACCAGATCCATGCTTTGACGACATTGTACTCAACAGCTTTATGATGAAAAATATCTGTTATTACTCTGCCCGGTCTTACGTGGTGGAGCTGGACTCTTAAAAGAGTCTATTCTTGTCTGTGATAAACGAATAAACGAGTTTAGCCCCACTCCCAGATAACAATTGTCTGGGCCGGGAGAATCAAACTTTTCCAATTTTATGGCGAAGCCCAGAATTAGCAGGTGTGACGTCAACATCTGAGCCTGTGCCGACATGTGAAGCGGTCTGCCCACGATCGCCTTGTTGAAAAACTGACAGGTCCACATCGGTCTCGTTCCTCCGGTCCATTTGGAACCAGGAAATAACGTGAGTAACAACCTGTGTTTTCCTCTCCGTCGGGAACCCCCGGACTACTGCCTTTAGGGATGAGACCTGGTCTAGTGACAGGACCTTCTTTAAAAACTCCTCCGAACGGAGGGGGTCGGGCTGCAAGTTGCAACATGCAACCCCTGCTATCAGCTTTGGCCATCCATGTCTGGCGAGCAAGCTCGCAGCCACTCTGCGTAACGTCCGTGGAGTGGGCGCGCGTTTAGGTGGTGCATCATGTTTTAACGGATGTCAGTCAATCCACCGCCTCAACCGCTGTCATGAGCCGCAGGAGTGTGTTCCGCGTGACCCACAGGCGAAGCTTCCTCGAAGGGGCTCCGAGCGTGTCTGTGTGCTGTGCTCGGCTGCGGGTCCGCATTCATGTCTATGTGGACCGGCGTATGTTGAGGAGAGGCGTGTGAAAACTGTTGATGCCGCGGGAGCGCGCGTTTTGACACCACTCCAGTGAGACGCGTGTCCCTCCTGCCGAGAGCGAGATACATTACTGGGCTTGTACAGCGATCTCACGTTTATGTTGACGTGAGCGGCGAGCGCTGAGAAGCTGCGTGCGTGCCTTCATAACGCAGCGCCGTATGGGTGAAGGCTGCTCGCACCACGGGAGTGCACGTTGGCACCGCTTCGTGAGGGGTGTGCAGCTTGGGCTGAAAAACGAGTTATTCCACTGAGACTCGTTGTGCGGGCCACATTCACTTATGACTGTTGTGTCATGTGGGCGTCTCGCCTTGTTTGGAGTGATGTGATTGAAACAACCTTTTAAAGGCCACCAGCTCATTCGTGTGTGTGTGTGTGGGGGGGGGGGGGTTGCAGAGCCGCTGTCAGGTCATCCGAGCTGACAGACTGGCTAAAAAGACACTTTCATCATAAAACGATGTTTTATTCCCACATTCGTGTCATCTTCACACACATCCCGCAAACCGTCATTTGAGTCATCTCCCCCTGAGCTCTGCGGTTTGTTGTCCTGGGACGCCACCTGTTGGCGATCTCTGGGAAAAGCTGAACTACCGGATGCTGGGGATGTCTGATGGGCGGGGCTGGCGTAGCAGAGTGGGGAGGCGTTGTGCAGCTGTGGAGCGTCTTGAAAATGATCCCTCGTTGATGAGGGCCCTCCAACAAAAAGCTTTTTGCAGCTCCTCCGAGAGGGAGGTGGAGTGACGGACCAGGTGAACCTCTGGGAAACCTCGTCCTCCGGCTGCGATGCGAGACCGGCAGACAACAAAGAGGCGCACTGGTTGAGGATGACGTCAGCTGCCTTGCAGAGGGAGCGTTACGTCTCCTTCCGCCTCTTGAACTTTGTACGCCAACAGCGTAACGTGCTGTTCGCTGCGGCTGCCTGGAACGCACGCTGGTGAGCTCGGTTGGAGAGGGACGTCACCGTCTGGTTATGCTTACCCTGAGGCGCAGGACGCTGGTCCAACCTGGACATCTTTGCTCCAAAAAAGCCTCCGTCAAGGCTCGGCTCCCAGGGGGCACTGAGGGAATTTCCGCTCCGTGAAAACCCCTCCGCTCTGGTGATGGGCGCGGATGTGGGAACCGGTGCCCTATTCTACCAGGAATCGGCTGTGGCCTCGTCCCAGTAGGCCGTCGCTGCTGGGAAACTGAGGCCAGATGGGATCAGGACGGCGAGCCGGAATGGAGCCCAGAAACCTTCCCACTAGATCATCCGAACTGGCGGGGAAGGAGAGGGACGGAAAAAAGTCCCTTCATGTCAGCCGCCTCCTGGATTATGCTGGGCAGCTCCAGAGGAGGGCACCAGCGGCTGGGAGCGGTATGGTCGCCGATGCGAGATAAGGTGAGGGGGGGTGAGCATTCGCTCAGCCCCTCTCTACCGACACTACGCTCTTCAGGAGGGAAAGAGCAGCTGGGGGCTGCTGCTGGCGTCGCCTGTCTTGGAAGAAACATCCGATTCGCTCCGAGAGTCTGCGATAAGAGGAAAATTACAAGATGGCGTCGTCCAGCGTGTAGCGACATGCCACTGAGAAATACTCCTCGGCGCTTACCTTGAAACAAGACTGCTCGTCTGCTTCTCCTCGAGGAGGAGAACTCACCGGGACGACAGGAGATTGATGTGGCGGGCCACAGGCAGTCTTAACAAAGGTTGGTCAGCTAGACAACTTTCCTTTTTCGTTCTTCTGACAGTGCTATTAGCTTGCTGAAGAAAAATGGGAGCCGATTACCCAATCTTAACGTAATTTATACGGACCGGGTGGGGCCCACACATCAGGTGGGCGTGGACTAAATTTTTCAGTGTAATGCTTCGCATGACGGGATAAAACCCACTAGCGACAGCCTTAAAGGGCGAAGCCTATACGAAATAGAACTGAATCCTAACCAGACTGATGAGTTAAAGACTAATCAAGGTCAAGGCGCCTTTATTGTCATTCACATCACATGTGGTACATGTGGTGGAACAAAACTATGTACACAGGTAACCAGTTACATCCAACAAAAGTATTAACTGTAAAGAAAAACAGTAGTAAGATCTAAGATATGAACTAAGAAATACGCTAAATTAAGAATATACTAAGCACAAATAGTACAAAACAATGCGCCAAACAACAGCAGCACGAACATGAGTCTGTGTGAGCAGATGAGGACGAATGAACGCAGCAACATGAAATAAATCAGCAGCATGAGATCAGCAGCATGGAGATGTGAGCAGGGCTGGGACAAAATTGCACTACTGCAGACTTTAAACATTTCCAGTCTAAAAAAATGTTGTGCTTTATGTGAAAGTCATTTAAAAAATATTTGCATCTCTTAAGTTTGCATTTTATGTTTTCTAGCAGAAACATTATATTCCTGCTACCCCCAGCTGCACCAGAAGTGCTACAACTAGTTGCTGCTGCTTTATACACTTAACAATAATCACAGAATTACTGTACAGGTGCTGGTCATAAAATTAGAGTATCATGAAAAAGTTTATTTATTTCAGTAATTCCATTCAAAAAGTGAAACTTGTATATTATATTCATTCATTACACATAAACTGATAATATTTCAAATGTTTTTTTTTATGTTGATTATAACTGACAACCAATTAAAACCCCAAATTCAGTAGCTCAGAAAATTAGAATATTGTGAAAAGGTTCCATATTGAAGGCACCTGGTGTCACACACTAATCAGCTAATTAACTCAAAACACCTGCAAAGGCCTTTAAATGGTCTCAGTCTAGTTCTGTAGGTTACACAATCATGGGGAAGACTGCTGACTTGACAGTTGTCCATAAGATGACCACTGACACCTTGCACAAGGAGGGCAAGACACAAAAGGTCATTGCTAAAGAGGCTGGCTGTTCACAGAGCTGTGTCAATTACATTGATAGAGGTGTGAAGGGAAGGAAAATATATGGTAGAAAAAACAGTGTAAAAGGGATAACCTGCACCCTGGAGATGATGGTGAGACAAAACCCATTCCAAAATGTGGGGGAGATTCACACAGAGTGGACTGCAGCTGGAGTCAGTGTTTCAAGAACCACTATGCTCAGACGTATGCAAGACTAGGGGTTCAGCTGTCACGTTTCTTGTGTCACACCATTCTTGAACAAGAGACTGCTTCAGAAGCATCTCACCTGAGACTGTTGCTGAGTGGTCCAAAGTTATGTTCTCTGATGAAAGTACATTTTGCATTTCTTTGGAAATCAAGGTCCCAGAGTCTGGATGAAGAGAGTAGAGGCACAGAATCCACATTGCTTGAGGTCCAGTGTCAAGTTTACACAGTCAGTGATGGTTTGGGGTGCCATGTTATCTACTGGTGTTGGTCCACTGTGTTTTCTGAGGTCCAAGGTCAATGCAGCCGTCTACCAGGATGTTTTAGAGCACTTCATGGTTCCTGCTGCTGACCAACTTTATGGAGATGCACATTTCATTTTTCAACCGGACATGGCACCTGCACACAGTGCCAAAGCTACTAGTACCTGGTTTAAGTACCATGGTATCCCTGTTCTTAACTGGCCAGCAAACTCACCTGAACTTAACCCCATAGAAAATCTGTGGTGTATTGTAAAGAGGAAGACGTGATACACCAGACCCAACAATTCAGAAGAGCTAAAGGCCACTATCAGAGCAACCTGGACTCTCATAACATCTGAGCAGTGCCACAGACTGATCGACTCAATGCCACATCATTGCTGCAGTAATCCAGACAAAGGAGCCTCAACTAAGTATTGAGTGCTGTACATGCTCATACTTTTCATGTTTATACTTTTCAGTTGGCCAACATTTCTAAAAATCATTTTTTATTGGTCTTAAGTAATATTATAATTTTCTGAGATACTGAATTTGGGGATTTCAATAGTGGTCAGTTATAATCATCAACATTAAAATAAATAAACAGTTGAAATATATCAGTCTGTGTGTAATGAATGAATATAATATACGAGTTTATAGTCTAAGTTTAATATACAAAAAAAAATTTTTTTTAATTGTATGCCTCTTTTATGATTGTCTATTGTCGTCGCAATGTTAAAATTCCGGTCTCTCTTGTAAATGAGTCCCCGAGGCTCAATAGGATTAACCTGTACAAATATTGGTTGAATGAAAAAACAGTTTCACTTTTTGAATGGAATTACTGAAATAAATCAACTTTTTCCTGATATAATTTTATGACCAGCACTTGTATATGAAAAGAGCTGACAATTTTAATAAATAGCATTTTCATGAACCATTGTGAATTCTGAATGAGGGCATTGTTACCACAGAAAGGAATCAACATTGTTCCTGCCTCTACTCAGACTAGCCATTAGCTCATCAGTCCAGTCAGAATTAAACCATTTCTCCAAACTGAGGCTATTAAATGATCCTTCTACGACCAGATATTATTTATAACCTTTTCACTAAAGCACACTTCAAAAGATGTGAGCTGTGACTAACTTTCCAGATGAGTACAGCTGATTGATCAGACATGCTTACATGTTGCAGATGCTACAATGGTGCGTCCGCGGTGGTTTTGGTGTGACACATTTCTTACAGATGGAAACAGAGGGCACTTTAAGTTTGTTCTGAAATAAATTGACAAGAGAAAGACTGCATTGTAGTTTTATTAAATCAATGTTAAAATAATTTACCTCGAGGATAAAAGTAGTAATAATATCCTCCAATTCTATAAAAGTTAGGATGCTGTGTAAAAATATACATTTAAAAGTAATGCAATGATTTGCAAATCCCATATTTTATGTAGAAAAGGAACATAGTAAACATTTCAAATGTGAAAATAAGAAATTGTTTTCCAAAAACGTTCAATCTGGTCCTCTGGACATTAAAAAAAAAACAAAAAGCAAAAAAAATATAGAAACGTTTCGTCTCTCATCCGAGAGACTTCCTCAGTCTGAGTTGCTGTATTCAGCTCAGTCTCTTAAATAGCACCTTCTCAGAGTGGATCAACCAGTTTTGCTGCTGACAACCAAAACCAGCTGCTCACATGGTCAAGAAGGACCATCAGCCTAACAATGGATCATTAGCACACTGATGGCTGTTTACTATTCACAGGGGGTTGAGTGATACTATCAATAACAGTAGTGTAAGGGGCCGTTTACACGGCCCGTATTTTGAGTGCATCCGCAGCTTTCTCTCTGCGGATCTGCTGATCATTTACATGACACCAGTGGCCCCCCTCTCTTTGAATCCAGAGGTTTCTGAACCCACCTTCCAGGGTGGAGGTTTTTCGCTGACCCCCCGCTGATAATGTAAACATCTCCCGCTGAGGCTTTGTGTTAAACCACATGCGCACACGCACGCGCGGACAGATGCTATTATCATCTCTATCAACATGGCGGCGGACACACTGCTTTCAGAACCTCGATTTATGGAATATATTTTTAATCTCGTAGTTAATCTAGTTGATTCCAGGTTTCTGTGACAGACATCTTTGGGGCGGCTGTGGCTGAGTGGTTAGAGCAGTCGTCCTCCAATGTGAGAGTTGGGGGTTCGAATCCACCAGCAGTCACATGTCCAAGTGTCCCTGGGCAAGACACTGAACCCCTCATAGCCTCTCTGATGTGTGTCCCATCAGTGTATGAATGTGATAAAGCTCTGATTAGTCTCTTTAGAATGATTTGTTCAATTAGCTTTGTAGAGATCTAGTAGAGTGCTGTATGAATGGGTAAATGAGGCACAGATTGTAGTGTAAAGAGCTTTGAGTATCTTGAAATAAGATAGAAAGGCGCGATATAAGTAGTCCAATTACATCTGTGTTGGAAGAGTCAATCTGATCCAGTTCTAATGTTGCTGTTTATAGAACGAGGCACGCGCACACGTCGCGCTGCACTACAACATTTAAATGTGCTAAATAATAAGTTTAATAATAATAAACAGTATTTATCTTAAGTTTGAGATATACAGGTCCTTCTCAAAGAAATTAGCATATTGTGATAAAGGTCATTATTTTCCATAACGTAATGATAAAAATTAAACTTCCATATATTTCAGATTCATTGCACACCAACTGAAATATTTCAGGCCTTTAATTGTTTTAATACTGATGATTATGGCATACAGCTCATGAAAACCCAAAATGCCTGTCCCAAAAAATTTGCATATCATGAAAAGGTTCTCTAAACAAGCTATTAACCTAACCATCTGAATCAATGACGTAACTCTAAACACCTGCAAAAGATTCCTGAGGCTTTTAAAAACTCCCAGCCTTGTTCATTACTCAAAACCACAATCATGGGTAAGACTGCCGACCTGACTGCTGTCCAGAAGGCCATCATTGACACCCTCAAGCAAGAGGGTAAGACACAGAAAGAAATTGCTGAACGAATAGGCTGTTCCCAGAGTGCTGTATCAAGGCACCTCAGTGGGAAGTCTGTGGGAAGGGAAAAGTGTGGCAGAAAACGCTGCACAACGAGAAGAGGTGACCG